TTCCTGCCAGGCGATCCGACTGCACAGCTGGCTCAGCATTCCTCCCCCGGACACAGAGCTGCACAAGGGACCACCTATCCGTCTTATTTTTGCACTTTTACAACCCAGATGACATTGCAGGTTGATCTTCTGTACAATACAACATAGTTATTACCCACGATAGGTTTATTCCACAGCCAAAACATATTTTCTTTCTTCTCTTTTCAGCATGGGTTAAACCTATTACTTGTACCTCTGTAGCCTATGCATGCTGACGCAGCTGCCCACCTGAGCTATCTCCCATAATGTACATCTTTCTGCATAATGCATTTATGTGCACAGGTGTCATTTTGAAAAAGATCTGTCTACAGCTTCTCTAACACTAGAATAGAAAAGGTAACTGTTTCGAAACTTCCTGGACTGTTGAAGAGCTCCTCAGAAATTAGATACCTTTTGTATATAAAGCACTTGTAAGTCCACTGTGACAGAAGGGATTAGAATCCCACTCTATACTGAGTTTATCATCGTGAATTTGCCTTATCATACTTCACGGTTATTGTTAGTGTGTTGATTGAATGTTACATTATAAAAGCAAATGCCTTACTAATTGGGGTTGTGCAGTACTCGGAGTAATAATGATGCCTCCAGCTGCTGTTTGTACAGACACTGGGAACATCAGCCTACTGAACATAACTTGCCTGTGGCAGGAAAAGCTGATACAAGCAAGGGAGTAAGCAATTAGTACCCACGTAAGTGTTGCATTAGGACAGAAATGATCGCCTTCCCCAGAATCAGCTGCATGGTACTCAAAATGTGTTCTGTAATTGTGTGTTTCTGTGCACTCCAGTCTTATTCCCTGCTCAGAAACTGTATTTTGTTTCGCAATCGTTCAGCAAAGCTGAATATCCACATTAAGAGTCTGTGGTTGTGTAGTTAAGCTACGGCCTTGCCCGGACAGGAAACAGATGTTGCTATCAAGAACTGTGAAATGTGTTGCCACATTTTTTTGAAAAACGGCCTGTTTCATCTCCATTACACAGCGTTCGCCTAACCTAGAAATGACCTTGTTGTACAACTGGGTTTTTAAGGACATAGTAAAATGTGGCCTTCTCTCTGAAAGCCAAGGTACTTATAAGTTAATGCTCCATTTTAATTTATTAGTTTTATAATCTCAAAGGGAGCATTAAAGCAACCAGTAAAGTCAGTTCAGTTTTAACTGTATTACTTTTGTAAATGCGGTATTAACTAGGTTATTTGCGAAAATACATCTGCCAGCATCGGAGATCACCCCTTCCAGACAGGTGTGGCTCATTAATTAAATGAATGACATCCCAGCATGGTTAAGGTCATGTGAATGATGTAGACGTGCTAGAAAGGCCTGGTTTCCCAGGCTGTTGGCTAGCTTGGCTGCAGAAGGAGAGCTCGGTGACTTTAAAACAGAGGAGGTGTGTGTAGCAGGACTGACCAAGGCAGCTGAGGCTGAGCTCTTGAGTAGCAGTGTCTAAGCTGAAGTCTTGAGCAGCAAAAGGCAACATTGTGCAGGAGCTCATACTCCAGGGATAAGGATATCCATGGGTTCGTTTGAAGTGCAAGGCAAAACAAGCAAGCAACTACCAATCAATTTGATGGCAGATTTCAACCTGGGGCGCAAAAAGCCCGTTTCTTCAGAACCAGTCCACTGAGACCTCCACCGAGTGGGATACCATTGGGGTCCGGTGCACGAACTGCTCATCACACACAGCAGTGCACATTTGGAAGATCACTGGTGCAAAGAGCACAGCCAATGGGCTACCCAGCCTCAGGGGAATGTGATACGATTAGATTTTGTTGAGTACCTTGTGATTACCAACCAATGAAGTCATTGGTTGCCGTCATCCGAAAGTTTTTTGAACTTTTTGTGGTTTCTGACGTTTAGAGGTTGTAATTCTTGCTTTTCCCTTCCAGGGAATTGGTTCTGTGTCTAGTTAACCTTTAAATGGGGATAAATATATCTTCCTTTTTAACTTGAATGGGGGGAACAAAATGAAAATTGCATTCCTCTAGTCATGCAGTTATTCGGATTTCATTGACGAAGCCCGCAGTGTGGATGGTAACAGTGGTACGACACCACGGCTGAGACGACAGCCAGCTGTTGTAGTATAGGTAAAATATAAATGAAGGAAGTCAAGCCATACATGACCACTTTGGTTTCTGGAGTCTCAAATTGCAAACTTTATAGTACATAGTCTGTAATTAGCTTTGGTGGTCACCCATTTCATCCTTGCTCACTTTTCTCATGTTACTTTCTCATGCCAGCAGCCATATCACCCTGCAATTCACAACTGGCAGCCCCACTGGAGCTCAGCAGGTGTGAGCCTGGTCAGTACCTGGATGGGAGACCTCCTGGGAAAAACTAAGGTTGCTGCTGGAAGAGGTGTTAGTGGGGCCAGCAGGGGGCGCTTACCCTGCGGTCCATGTGGGTCCTAATGCCCCAGTATAGTGAGACGTAAAACCGAGGTCCTGACTCTCTGTGGTCATTAAAATCCCAGGGCGTTTCTCAAAGAGTAGGGGTGTAACCCCGGCGTCTCGGCCAAATTTCCCATTGGCCCTCACCAATCATGGCCTCCTAATAATCCCTATCTCTAATGCTCTCCTCCCCACTGAGAGCTGGTGTGTGGGGAGCGTTCTGGCGCACTATGGCTGCTGTTGCATCATCCAGGTGGGGCTGCACATTGGTGTTGGTAGTGGGAGACCCCATTACCTGTAAAGCGCTTTGAGTGGAGTGTCCAGAAAAGCACTATATAAGTGTAAGCAATTCTTCTTCCTTCTTTCTTCATTGCCTTTACTGCTCCTTTTTGCTTCACTTGTAAGATTCAGATTCCCAGTTCTGAGCTGTAGTCTTCCCAGTGGATATGCTTGCTCCTGCCTGTCTGCACTCCTCCTTACCCTCCCAGCTCCTCCTCTTCGTCCCCGAGCCCATTCACACCCTCCCCTCACTCAGCGGTGGAGTGACCTGGCCCTGCCCAGCCCCTCTGTGGCCCTGCCCATGATTTCCCCTGTTCACACCACTCCTTCCTCTGCTCTCACCTGCATCCTTCAGTATCACTCGCACTGTATTACAGCAGAAACGTTCACTCTCAGACTGCTTCACTAAATTGCCAGTAACCCACTTGCACAGTAAATATAGAATTCAGAACCAAGAGGGTGTTGACTTTACTCCTCTGTATCCACACTGTAGCCTGTTCTCTATTTTGATTTCATGGCCAGCTTGTGCCAAAATCATTTTGTTCATTTATTTTTTCCTTTTTGTCCCTGCACGATAGTTCTTTGTACTAATGCACAATGTTTTTTTTTACACTAAGCCTGCTACCTAAATAATGTAAGAATTTGGTATTTTTTTAAAACAGCCTGGCATCTAGATTCAACATCTTAAAAAGTTTGATTTGCATTTTTTCAAGTCATACATTTTCAGCAGACGTATTCTTTTTTTTACGTTAAAATGAAAGCCTCAGTTTTCAGAATAGGAACAATGCTTATCCTCAGTAGTACCGTAGTACCTCTTTGACGAAGAGTTTGACGCTGAGATAGTAAAATCCCATTGTCCTGTTGCTGGAGTAGATAAACAGATTACTTCTCAAAATTAATTTATTTTTCTAAAAAGCTTTATCAGGAGCAGCGAGTCTCTGTTGAGAGGATGTGTCAAATAAATGCACTACATCTAAAAGAAAAAAAGCTGATTAAATTATAGTAATGAACAGTTGATGATCAGATAAAACCATTTTATTAGTGCCGTCAGGTTCAGAAATTAGTTTAACTTGTTCTCATCTTAGTCCCAGTATGTCTTGCTTTGTTGTAAACTTATTTTTTGTCGCGTCGTGCAAAAATTGTAGTGTTTTCTTTCTCGCACTATAAGCCCACCCACTGAGTGGTGATCCCAAAGGAAACTGCGCCATTTCATTCTTGGTATTTTGCGTGCGATTATACATCTGGGTGAACGGCTTCGAAGTCTTCACCTTGTGCGCGACCTGATTTTAAATCAAGTTCAAAGTGCTTTTCGCGGCTAGATCATCTTCCGTTCCGCCCCTCTGGAAGGTAAGGGCTGGCGGGAAGGTAACTCGAGCGTTCACGTTCAGGAGATCTTTCACGGTGTGTGGAGCACATTAGCGCACTGGAGTGATCTGACTTTGTGTCAGGTGACTGGCATCAATCTGTGCTCATTGGAGCAGTCAGCTGGTAATTCTCAAATTTTCTGGCAAGTGGGAAAGATTCGGGCAGTAATTGTGAATGTATATTGCTTATGACAAATGCGTGAGAAGGGTCTTGCTGCCCTCCTAGGTCCTTCTGGGTCCATCTGTCCTACATAGTTTGAGATGATCTTTTAACAGTCTTCTTATAAAGTGTGACTGGGTTTGTGTGGTTCGAAGACTGTGCACAAGGACACTTTAGAGGAAAAGGACATCTTGGCCTTGCCGTTTGAACATTTAGATGGATCTCCCCTTCGAGAATGTCCTCTGCGTGCTAAAGTTGCCTGAGGAAAAAGGTGACATTGCACTCTGCCAACCATACTTCCAGATTTACTTTTTTTTGCAGCTTGCATCTTTTAAGCCACCAGAGATCGGACACAGAAAAAGCAGGAGCCTAATGAGGTTGCTCTCACCCGGCTCGTTTTCATCACTATTGTGGGTGTGCAGGAGCCACTGTGCACCAGCAGCCCCACTACCCAGTTGAGAAGGTGGAGAACTAAAGGAACGTTTTGTAGGTAGCTCAGATTGGAAGTTAGCTACGTGGCAGCTAAAGATAAGCTAGTGAAAGGCAGGATTTCCGCGGGTCAATCAGTGCTGGACTGTGGGTAAAATGTGTAAGAATTGTAAAGGTTTGGGTTGTGAATACTGTAACAGTTACTATAAACAGACCTTTTTTTTTTTGCTTAAACTGATACTCTTCCTCCTTCCAGCCTCGTAGACCCGAGTCCGCTTCGGCGATGCTTTGCGCGAGCACCACGACATGTCTTGATCGCTCGTTGACCTTTTTGGCCCGCAGAGATCCATCCGGTCGTTCGCCAACGATGACCGCCACGTCATGGCCAAGCACTCCACGATCTACCCCTCGTCCGAGGAGCTGGAGGCCGTGCAGAACCTGGTGTCCACGGTGGAGTGCGCGCTCAAACACGTCTCCGACTGGCTGGACGAGGGCGACCAGGCGGCCAAGGAGACCGGGGCGGCCGTCAAGAAGGACGAAGCCACAGAGAACGACCCGAAGTGAGTCCATTGCCCTGCTTTCACCCAGCTTTTGATAAACTGGGTCCCTTCATTATTTGTCCTTCCCTTAACAGGTCCTTTGCTGTTCTCTGCTTGTTCGTATATTGATGTCCCCCGTCTAATATGGGTTCGGGAGATTAATCACTGAAGCGGTTTGATTTATATTGCCGTGTGCTTTATTGGTTTGGCCGAGAGGATTTTGTTTGGATTTTGCGAAAGAAATCGGGAGGTTTCTGTAATTAGGTCAGCCCGATAGCGGCTTTAGCTGCATTTGAAAGACATCTTCGGTTTTTGCTAAGGGTGTTAATGGCTGTTTACCTTATTCAGGGAACAGAACGCTGGGATCCTGTGTGGCGTCATGAGAATTGGACTAGTTGCTAAGGGTTTACTGATAAAGGATGATATGGACCTGGAGCTGGTGCTCATGTGCAGGGAGAAGCCCACTGAGACCTTATTATGTACAGTCTGCGACAACCTTCCTCTACAGATCCAGGTGAGTTAATTTAGGAAAGCTGTTGTCAGAATGATTAATTGCCTGGAGATGTTTTTTTTTTTTTTGCAGCTTACAAGACAGCATTTTTTAAACCTGGCATTAATCAAGTCTCGACCACAACAACAGAACAAGCAGAAAGCCCAAATCACCTGGCAATTTGTTCGAAAAATGCAAATGCTGAGAAAAATGCATCAGTGCAGGGCAAGATCTTGAGATAAAGGGGAAAATAACGGTGGTTTTCTTAATGAGTGATGTTGGATAATGAATCTGAAACGATACCCAAGAGGCAGCCTAATTGGATGCAGTAGTGGAAAAGGAAACCGTTTTTTTCATGCGTTTGTTTATGGTACTTTTCAGATGCTTACTGTATCTTAAGTAATGGGACTTTAAAATATCCCTTTTTGTCAGGCTTTAAATACCTAATCCTTTGAAGGATTTCATTAAGAAATAGCCTTTTGTTACCAGACAGATGTCTCCTTCGGCATCAACTCACATCCTGTCTTTAGAAATGATCCAATTGCGTATGTCTTGTTGCGGGTGTTTGAATATTTATACAAGTTTTTGGCAGTGTTTTTACTGAGTGAACGAAAGTCAGCTTAGCTTTATGCGGAAAAAGAAAACACCTTCATCATTGAAATATAGCACTGCGCCTAATTGAAACACCGCATAATTGGGTTCTGCTCTGTCAAAATATCATGAGCTGAAATGAGTCCTTGGTTGAATACATGTCAGCAGAGATGAATACAACCAATTTCAAGCCAGGGTGTTCCACATGCTTCTTGTAAAGATGGCATTCCTATACTGCATGCATGCCATTGTGGTAAAGACCATTTAAAATAAAAACGGCCTGTTGGTACGACTTGTGCTTGCCTGTAAAAAGAGTGATCCCTGTGTACTTTGGTTTTGTGTAAGAAGGGCAATCGCTTGTATGTGCAGCTTCTTTAATTGTATACCCCATGGTGAAAGTTGAAATTTTCATGTAATCTCCAGCTAGGTCGTTTGGAATAGCTCGTTTTATGTCGTGGCGAACATTGAATTACTTCACTGACGCAAAAATGGTAGCAGTGCTACAATATTTCAAACATTTGTTTTTGCAAGCAGTTTTCGATAATTAAAAGGTGTCTATTATCGCCACCGCTGCCCGACTCGTAAAGAAATCCGCAAGAGAGCGAAAATAAGTAGCATGTTAGTGGAGCAGATTTATTTATTTTTTGCTTTTTAAAAACGTGGGATGGAGTGATGAGGCTGCAGTTCTTCCTGCATTCTTTCCCCTTCGTTCGCATGGCCGAACATGCAGTCTTGCCGCCGCCACAGGCTGGACGTTGTCATCCCTGCTGTGCTCGGCTTTTCAGAAACTCACAGAAGACCACTACGAAGTCCGGAAGTGCGCGGAGGAAGCCGCGATATTGGTCTGCAACACAAAAGAGCCCAAGCTAACCCTGAAGGTGATTCTCACCTCCCTCCAGATGAGGGACGACCTGGAGAAGAGAGCCGAAGGTACACGGGGCTGGGGGGGGTTCCCGCCGGCTCTTGCCGAAGGGGGATTCGCTGGGGAGGGCAGCGCCGGCGTTTTTGCTTTCGCCTCCCAGTCGCGTCACCGGACGGATTTCGGTTCTGAAACGGTCCCGGCAGGTTTTCGGGTTTCAACGCGGTGGTGGGATGGGATGTGGGAAAGATAAGTCATGCGTGGGGCGTCCCAATAAAGCATCATGAGCAGGGCCCCGCTGGGGAAAAGGGCAAGCTGTGATCCGACAATATGGAGCATGTAGTCTTCCGACTCTCCGAGGTCATTATCCAGGTTTGACCATGAGCAGTTCTTCAAGGCCTGATTTTTTTTTTTGTGCGCAGTTTGAAATTAATGTAGATGTTGCATCGTGCTCCCCCTTCAAATCCAAACCAAAAGGTCCAGCTCTCCCATCCTTCCCCCAGTACAAGGCACCTGATTGTCCCCCAGAATAGATGACCACTCTAACCAAGCATAGCAAATGTTGGCCTAATGCCTTGGAAACCGTAATGACAGAGCCCCGCTTGCAGAGACTTAAAAAGATGCTCAGAATTGTTGCCCAAATAAAAATAAATAAAGGTAAGTGGGGAAAATTCGGCCAGCCCCATCCCTAAAATGATTCCTAATCCTGGTATGAGAATTGTATTTGACTCGGGGAAATCTCTGGGCTGCAAATACGGGCTGAAGAACTGCAGAAGGTTGTTGATGTGATCTTAACGCGCAACTGAACCTGTGGCAAAACTGTTCATCGCTTGTTACCCCTCTTTCCACTCCTCCACCACTTGTATTCCTAAACACAGCCTTGTCTGCGTCGGGCTTGGTCTAAAAAGTCAAGAAAAATTGCCATAGGTCGGGGGGGGGGAGAGAGATGACTAATACTTCTTTTCTCAATTTTGTTTACTTACTAGTCATTTTGTTGCTTCAGCCTCCAAAGCCTGTCCCTGGTAGCTTGCCAAGCATTACTGGACTCTGTCAGACCTTTGACCAACTGGCCACTCTCTGTCATGGGATCGGAGGCAGCTGAGCCCACCTGGGCACGATGGGACCCCACTGGCTGTTCTCCCATTTTTAGATATGCTACAAGTCCCTTGGCTACTTGCTTTCCTTTCTATTTGCTGTACTTGGTGAAATTCTGGCGACACCTTACTCGGAGCAGATCCTGGGCCTTCCTATTATAGCATGTGCATTCTGGAAGAGTTTGTGATTGGTGAATTTTTGTTTTTTTTTAAAAGAAAAAGGTGTTACCTGCTCAAGGTGGCATGTCACAATTTCACGTAGTACACTTGGTGTTCCTTTTATTTATTTATTTTTGGTCACTAATCAAGGCGAGAGGTAATGAAATGAGGCAGCTTTCAGTGGTGTTTTTTTTTTTTATCATTGTACGTTTCTCAAATAAGAGTGGTGTTTTCTCCTTCATGCCCTGCAGAGCATTATTGTCTGTGCTTTTGTTTTAGACAAATTCATGCCAGTACGTAACCGTTTAGAATCTGCAAGTTTGCTGAATGCTTTGTCATTTAGATGTTTTAAGATCCTTCTAGAAGCACGGACTAGGGAAAAAGAAGAAAAGGACTCTTAAACAATGCAACAAAAAATAGCTAATGACATTCTCTTGCTGGTAGCTAATTATAAACATCCGCCATTCCAAAAGCACTGTACTGCAAGCTGTGAAATCTTTGTTTTCAGGTTTTAACATTAAATGATTTTTCCAGTTTTCACTGTGCCCTGTAAAATCTGGCTATTCTCACCAGGCATTTATTTCCATTTTCTTTTTCCTGTGGTAGATTCAAACCTATGTGATGAATTCTTGGGACACTTGTTTAAATTTTTGATATAGGTTTGTCCAAACGCTCCCCATAAAGGACTGTAGACAGTTTTGAAGCTTTTAGTGGTGCAGAGCATGAAGGCACCATAGTCCTCCGGTTCGATTTCGAGGGAATTTGGTGCAAGTTGACCTTTTTTCACTGCCTGATTCTTCTGTTCTCCTCTTCGTCCATTTTTGTAGAACTTGCACAAAATGCTGACTGACTGCAAAACAGGTTGTGCACTACTAGAGTCTAGATCAAAACTATCAAGTTGTTTTTTCTTCTGTGTGCAATCAGCCTCTCTTTTTTTAAAAAAAATAACGGAGGTGGAAATGTGCTCTTAAGTAAAGTATCCAGTGATCTTGTTGGCACTTAGTACTCCAAAACATTTATACAGTTCGCACAGCAGTCATACAGAGATTAATTCAATTGATTTGATTTTCCTGGGTGTCCTGAACTGTGTAGTATCTGTTTTGCAGTCTGTCACCTTGTCCATTGTCTAACTCAGAGTTTTAAAGCCTCTTAACCACTCATCTGCAGCAGTGTATAATATTGCCCTGACCTACAATAATGGTGTACTCTGTATCAGATGTTTATGTTGTTGGAATCTCATTTTGTCTGAAAAGGCCTCACAGGGAAAAACCCTGTGTGGGGTTCTCCTCACCTCACGTCTGCTTGCTGCCTCTGGTAAACAGAGCATAAGATTGCTCATCTGAGAAACAGATCACTGAAACGCTTAAAATGCTGGACCAGAACAACATAAATATCTGCTACACCAGCGGGTTAAAAAATAACAGCATCGCGCTTTATTCATCTGTTAAGACAACCGGACGTACAGAAGCCAATGTCAACCTGCAGAGCCTGCCAAGTACTTAACCTGGAGCGATCAAAGCAATTCTTTCTTTTATTCCCAAAGTTAACGTGCCTAATGAGCACAGGCTCCACTTAATGGGGCTTTCTAAAGCAGACAGCTCAGCAGCACTCCAAAGGAGGAGACATTCGCAAATTTGTTATGTGTCGTGGACGTCTTTCTGAAGAAGCGAAAAACAGTGGCTTTTACTAGTCGCTTTCAGTACATTTTCAAGAGATTATTAGTTTATTTGCTTTCTTAAGATTGGCTGTTAGTTGAATCTGAAATGGATTTAATATTTAAAAGCCCCATTTTACTACACAGTGGTAAATTTAAAAAATGTCTTTAGAAATGGAATTCTAATTTTAATTGTAGAGTCCTACTTGATAGCGATGCTAGGCATGTATTTTTAGCTTACGGTCTTTGCCATTGATTAATGCTGCACTTGGTAACACAAGCACAAAATTCCTGTCCGTCTTCAAGAAGTTTTGTTTCCTGTTATTTTTGAGCAGCATTAAAAGGCCAAAAGCGCTTTCTCTAAAAAAGTCTAAAGAGCTCCTTGCTAAATGACATGCTTCTAAAATAAACTAGATTTGTCATGAAATGAAGTGCTTGTCTAAAAGATGGAAGATGACTCATTTGTTTTTAATCTGATGCTCTGTGAGGAAGAGCTCTAGAATTCATGGTTGGGAGACAAGTTAAATCTATGCTAAATTGATAACCTTGCTTAAAGAATGGCTTGAATCAGTATCTTTAGTTTACACGGGTTGTGTGTCTGTTGCAGGTTTTTTTGTGCTGAAAAACTTAACCGACTATGGCTGTAAATGATTATACAGCTCATCTCTGTCATCACTCATTAGCCCCTCAGGTAAAAAGCGCGATGCTGTTATTTCTACATCTGGTGAAGTGGAAAACATTCGATAATCCAGTGCAGACATAGCTGTGGTCATTGATTTGCATATCAAATGAATGCTTTTTTACTTTAGTTGCATATGTTCGTATTACTTTTAATGGCTGTTACAATAGTAACCACTGTGCACTTGAGAAATCATTTATAAAAAAAACGAAAATCAAATCACTGGGAGTGTTAATTATTAGAATGCTGCCACTCTCCCTCTACTGTGACAGAAACCCCCCTTGGTCAAATCGTATCTGTCTTTTTTTTTATCCCGTTCTTTTTACCAGTCGAAAATGTGGCCATGAAAGATCCTCTGGACTTACTGGACAGGCAGAAATGTCTTAAGGCCTTGGCGTCTCTGCGACATGCCAAATGGTTTCAGGTTGGCTCTTTGTTCTTACCTTATTGTTATTGTAGCCTTATGACCTTTTTTTAATGAAAGTGTAAAACCCAAAGACCCGAATTTCGCCTCTTGTTCTTCTTTGTGTCGTTTGTACTTAAAGTTTCAGAAACAGGTAAAACAAATTAGTAGCTATCATAAGGCTACAAAAGCAATCATTACCATTTACTTTGCACCTGCTTTCCCAGACAATCAGATATGCTTTATTTTACTGTTTTGCCTCCTTCCCTTCCCTGTTGATTGCATGAAATCGGCCATGCAGCATCTTTGAAACATGCATAACGAGTCCGAACTTGTCCCCTTTCCCAGAAAATGCTATTCCTTACTCCAGCCCACCTTTTGCCATCATTCTGTCTTTTTTTAGGCAAGAGTTAACGGCTTAAAGTCGTGTGTAATAGTCCTTCGTATTCTGCGTGATTTGTGCAGCAGAGTACCAGCCTGGGAGCCATTGAAAGGATGGGTGAGTGTTAAGTCTGGAAACGTGAATTGGCACTAACTGATTTTCCAACAGGGGAAGATGCAACGTCTTTGATGGAAGAAGGGGGATCGAAAGTGAACCTCAAATCAAAGATTTTTCAATGAAAAATGAACCTTTTTAGCCTCGGAACAAAGAAGATTGTAAGAGGATCTAGTTCAAGTATTCAACCCAGTCAGCTTCTTGAATGAACACTGAAATACATACCAAAGTCACTAGTGCAGCCTACACAGAAGTGCCTTTAAAACCGAGAACAGGAGACACGTCTTTATCCAGATGAGTGTGAGAGTACGGAGCAAGCCACCCAACCATGTGGCAATAAGGGTCATGAAATCCTAGGAGAAAAGATCCGTTACAAACTGCCTGCTTTTCCAATACGAGCGATTGAATGATATTAATTTGTTATTTAAGAAAAGAACTTGTAAGGCAACACTATTAAGCAGGTTTGCTTAATTATTAAACATAAGGACCTACGAGATTAAAAACAAGAGGCAGTCACTTGTCCCCTCTTGTTGGTATGGTTTGACAGTGTGGGAGCGCTTTTGTCTTGGTTAGGACAAGAAGAAACATGAAACTGTTGTGGTAACTTAATTCCCCAGGACGTGCACAAACATCGAATTCTCACCCAGCAAGAGAACGGGTTAATGGCATGCAGCCCTCTCTGACAGCACTGTGTGGCTCGGGGTTTGGGGAATAACTGCGATAGGGTGACTAAATTTCATTTAGAGAGAAGAGTTGCATCTAGTGCTGTGACTCAAGATCAGGTTGGGATTCATGGTAATAAACTCCTACCGAGCGGTTGATGATTATTATTGATGGTTCGAAATACTCAGCAATGGACTCCTCACTGGCCAAACCAGTCCAAGCAGTCATTCTTAAAGGGGAACTGCAATGCGGTTTTTATTTTTTGGGGTTAGAAATGATCAGCAATCATGAGTGCACTTCAGTAACCTCGAATTTACATCTCAAATTAGACAGGTTTCCGGGTGTGCGGAGCGCCATATTCTGCGATTCAGAGGCAACAAAAGTCTAATAACTTGAAGTGTCTCTATTACACAGTAAAGAAGCAGGCTGGTGAATACATCTCTACTAATCCAGTAGACAATTGATTTCGAGGTGGTTTTACCGATTAATAGAACTTGTTAGCTCTGCATGCAGATCACATTGGAACATTTCTGCAATGAAATGTCTGCTACACAATCTGTACTTGTACATCGCATTACATTAGACATGATAGTGACTAGTGAGCAGGAAGGGCTGCATGATGTCACAGTTAGCCTTACACTACTAAGGCTGGTTGGCCTTGTGTTGGCCAGCATGTCCGCGGAGAGACACACAAAGGTGATGGCTATGGCCTGCTGGGTGCCTAAGAGCTTGCAGTTTTCCCAGTTAGAACAGTATTGCCCTTCCATTCGAAGGTCACTCTGCTGCAGGTGCTGCGTGGCTCGTAGTGTGCAAAATGGTGGAAGACCCTGACAGTGGTTGTTCTGGAGGAGGGTGCGCAGGGTCCTCCAGGGTTTGGGAATACAGATTGTAGAGTTCATCCATGTTTGTGAGCAGTGGGAGGGCGGGTTCAAAAGAATAAATAATTAGCGGTTCTAACTGGGGTTTTTTAAAGAGCGGATGTTATGAGACTCTTTTGTTCTGCCAGAGCTTGATGTTAAATGCTCATTCCTTGGCTTCGGTGTCAACTTTTGTTTCCCCAGCCCCTTGAGCTGATCTGTGAAAAGGCCATAGCAACGTGCAACAGGCCACTGGGAGCTGGGGAAGCCCTTCGTCGTGTGATGGAGTGTCTGGCCTCTGGAATTCTGCTCCCAGGTAGCTTTCTTGGGATCAGGACTGGAGGGAGGGAGGATGTGATGCATCTGGTCAGAACTGCTCAGGAAATCTTTGCCATGAGTCATCTCCAGGACTCTGCTGGCTTTTTGTGGGATCTGTGTTTGGGTGGCCGCAGGACAAATGTGCTCACCCAGCCAGACAGCTGGTCAAATAAAATATTATTTCTCTCTCGGTACATTCCGATGCATTGCCAGTATTGGCTGCCCATCTGTAGGCATTAGCTTTCTTGGAGAACCAGGAAAATGTATTACTGGCTGGTTTCCTTTCACAACAGTCAGTGGCTCATCGATATGAAGCCATGGGTTTTGAAATCTAAAAGTTCTGCTGGATAGATAACTGGTGAGGACTCTAATTGAGGGGTATGGGAGTGGTAATAATTGCTTACACTTATATAGCGCTTTTCTGGACACTCCACTCAAAGCACTTTACAGGTCATGGGGATCCCCTCCACCACCACCAATGTGCAGCCCCACCTGGATGATGCGACAGCAGCCATAGTGCGCCAGAACGCTCACCACACATCAGCTATCAGTAGGGAGGAGAGCAGAGTAATGAAGCCAGTTCATAGATGGGGATTATTAGGAGGCCAGGATTGGTGAGGGCCAATGGCAAATTTGGCCAGGACGCCGGGGTTACACCCCTACTCTTTTCAAGAAACGCCCTGGGATGACCAAAGAGAGTCAGGACTTCGGTTTTACGTCTCATCCGAAAGATGGCACCCATTTTACAGTATAGTGTCCCCGTCACTATACTGGGGCATTAGGACCCACATGGACCGCAGGGTGAGCACTCCCTACTGGCCCCACTAACACCTCTTCCAGCAGCAACCTTACTTTTCCCCAGGAGGTCTCCCATCCAGGTACTGACCAGGCTCACACCTGCTGAGCTTCTGTGGGGCTACCAGTTGTGAGTTGCAGGGTGATATGGCTGCTGGCTGCTGTTGCTTCTGGATTACGATTATGGAAAAGCCAACTGGAATTTGCCCCAAAAAATCGGAGTTGGCATACATAAAGAAAAATCATATACATATGATCATATGCAGAGTGGTATGGCTGGTGGCGATATCAGTAGGGGAATGGTCAGCTATTTTCTTGCCAATAATGACCTGGTATCCTGTCTTGTATGCAATTCCTCAGGGAAGATGTGTAAACACTAGGTAATACAGTACTTACAGGCTGTTAAGCGAAGGTTGGTAAATGACGAAGAAGGCTTCTAAACTCCAAAAGTCCAAATGAAGCCGCCTTAATTTTTTGTGTCCTTGTCAAAAATATACGTCTGTGAATCATGTCTTTCCTCATTAGCCCCCTGCTGACCCTACAGAGAGCTGGGTCGCAGCAGCAAGATGAAACATGAAGTGATATTTTCAGATTGAAAAATCCTTTAAAACAAGTGATTAAAAATGTATAACTTGTTTCTGGTGACTTGAAAAAGCTGAGCGGTTTTCATCCTGCCTGCCCTGGATGTTTTTTTTTAAAATAATAAGTGATGCATCTCATCACGCATATAATCAGGTTGTAGATGGTTTGGGTTCCAGGGGTCCATTAAGCACTAATCAGGTTTCTACTGTACTAGGTTTGAAACGCACTGTTTAGGCTGTTGTATCAATGGACAAGTCTTAGTTTTCTTTTTTTATTAAACATGGTATAGTGATGAAAACCTAATTAGTAGTCTTGAATTCTTCCGGACTTATAAACATCATGTTTCTTAGTTTCCAGAATATTTGCATTCCTAGAGAAATATTCCACTCCTTTCATGTCACTGTTCCTCCTGTGCATCACTCCATCAAAGATGATGGACAGGTGTGTCAGTATAGTGTGTCTCTCTGCTTCCTGATCCCTGAGTACATGAGTACAGAGACACAACGGGCGCATGTGATGCTTGGACACTACTGGCATTTCCAGATGGGTCGTAATAAAAAAAAAGGAATTGGCAGTCCTTGCTGGTTGATTCGACAAAAAGACGACAACCCAGCATTGTCCTCACTCGCGGTTTTGCTGCCCAGCAGAGTTTGGTACGTGTCCAGACTGCTCTGTGGACTTGTGTACCACTCACACACACAGGCCATGTCTCTTCAGACAAATCCTTTCTGTCACCACCTAAAGAGCCCTCAAGGACACGTCCTGTAAGACATGCAAGGTCTGCCTTGTGTACTTCATCATGGCATTGCCATCTTGTCACAGTTGTGTTTCTGGTGGTCTGAGATCATTCCTTTTTTAGTGGCTGTAAGTGTTTTTTCCTATTGGGGGATTTCATGTGCTTGATTAGTGCTTGTCTTGTTTTGGAAATACCCTTTCTTAGCTTTTGATGTCAATCTGAAATCGGCCAAAATACATTTATATATATATACACTGTATGTACTTGTATTCCCAACCTTAACTCTTAAGTTTGAAAGCTTTATTTTTATTCATATGTTTTGTCTTTTGTTTTCAGGTGGACCAGGTTTACATGACCCGTGTGAAAAAGAACCCACAAATACGCTATCTAATATGACAGAGCAGCAGGGAGAAGACATCACGCACAGCGCTCAGGTATGATCAAGCTGTTGGGGCCATAGCTTAGCAGCCTAATCCATCTGCCATGGTATTTACAGAAGAGCGAAGCTGATCTCACCTTGCTGTTTAAGATTAAAGGAGTTACTGACTTGAGAACTCTTTCAAAATGCAGCGTTTTGCGATCCGAGCAAGTGTGCATTTCGCATTAGGTCTGAATTAATTTACACGCCAGTGTGGTGGTCATTAACGCCTTTAGAATGACTGCCACCCCCATCCTAGGTTGGAGAACCCTACCAAAAACACAAAGATGGCCTCCAGATTGCAGATCATGGGAATGCATATCGATTCAGTGTTTGTAGATCTATTTTAAGCATCACGTTTAAAACGACATAACACAGCTGTTGAAAAACAATTTTTGCCTGGATCCAGGTGCCTCACTGACAATAATTGATGCTGTGTAATAATAACGCCACCATCAAGTAAGGTGAACTGGACTAGATGTGTTTCTTGAGAGCTGGCTGCAGTCTGGAACAGACAGCTTCTTTCTGTTGCTGAGATTAAAGGTTTGGAGATGAGGAGGCACCTGACCTCAGCATTTAGATGCAATATGAGGTAGTTTTCATGGAAGCGGATATGTAACTGCAGTGTTAAATAAAAAGCTTGTGTTAAAAAAGGGACTAAAGTACTGGGCTGGTCTAGGAAGCAGAGGGGGAATGTTGATTTGCAAGATCGAATGAGAAAAACAAGGCTTTCTAATTGTTAGCTTTCTTTGTTTTCTGTGCCCTCAGAGGTTTATCAGCCTCTATTAGTACTTAACCCAAACTGGTTTAGTCCACTATTTACAAAACGCATTTGACATCTAATTCTTTTTGGGGCTTTCCCATTCGTTCGTGTAATGCAATTACATGACATAATTCCAGAAATTAAGGAATGAGTGCCTGTATTTTAGGTTGTGTTTTGCTTTCAGATCGAGTGTAGCGTTTTTTTGGATTTTTGGCCAATTAGTTGCCCCGTTAAAATTGTTTTGAGCAATCACAATACTGTATTACATTATAATATTTAACAGCTGCCCTCCAAATGTATTCATACCCCTGATAAAATAGGAACAGTAAACGTTAAATATTTTGCAGACTGGATAATGTTTCCTGCTTGAATTTTACAATATTCTGCAATCTTAGTAACATTGGACAATCTTGTTTGTCATAATTCATTAGTCCAGTCCAGAAAACACAAGGGTCACTTTTCTTTACACTTCTGTGGTATTTTGTTAATCCTCCCTTGGCACAAATTCCACAGACTACATACCTCCTGTAGTTTGCTATGAGGATCTGGCACTTCAGAGAGGAAATTTGTGCACATCTCTCCATGTAGAATTGTCTTTCAGCCATCTTTCGTTAGACTCACAAATGTTCAGTGGGATTAAGGTCTGGATCTTGAGACGGCAAGGGCCGAACATTTTTTTGTGTGTAGTTAACCATTTGTTTGTTGTTTTCGTATACTCTTTGGATCGTTTTCATGTTGGAATGTCAATTTTCCATTGGGCTAGAGCTTTCTTGAAAACAGAAATCTGTCCAAAATGCTGTGATGCATGTTGGAGTTCATGATTTCCCATATCATAACAAAGAGGCCAGGACCTGTTGATGCAAAGCAACCCCATCGTAATAGACCCCTAAATATTTCACAGGATTGTCCCCTGAAGGAAAGGTTTTGTGGGCACACAGCACTTCTGTACATTTAAATATAATGCACGCACTCCAAAAAAACATTGCACCTTACTCTATTGCACATGTATAACACGTATAACATTTATAACACATTACAAAACATATTGCACACAAGTGGATTGTGAAAGTCAAAAACTGTTTATCCTTGCCATTTGCATTGACAGCTTTAATGGATAGTGGAACAAAGGAACATTTGTATCTGTTTGACTTACATTTGTGAACCCTTAAACGTTTGCCAGAAGGAAGGAGTTGGTATTCAGAATTGAGGATGTGGGAAGGATCCGATATCATTTTTTCTGCCAGTTTGATTACGGCTTTTTCAAAGATTGTCTGCAGGGAGAGGTGCTGTTTCACTCCCATGACCTTCAGAGTAGTTGGGATGAGACGGGTAATTTCAGATCTCAATTGAACTGATAAATTACCAAACCACACTGTTATACCATAACTGATAATGGTCTCGATTACAGTATGGTAGAAGAGTAGCATTATTTCCTGTCGAACCCCAAACACTCTTAGTCTTCGCAAGAAATATAAGGGCTACTGAACTTTGGAGCAAACACTCTCAACATGAGTAGTCCAGCACAGGTTTCTGTCTATGTGTACTCCTACGAAGCATTTTCACACAAAGCGTAGCACTGCCGCACATATCGGTAAACCCAATTTGCAGTTCCTCTGACCATAAGACATTGTATCCAGTTGTGGTTGAAGTGATGTTTGGCGGGTCTGTGGCCTGTTTTATTGATTTGCCCTCAGAAGACGCTTCTTCCCTGCAGCTCAAGTATGAGTGCCACATTCATGCAGGCCAGTGGTCGTTGTCAAAACTTTGTATCTTGAAGATGCCACGGTGTATTGGAGATGCCCAGCTGCTGCCTTTGGATTTGCAGTTGGTTCCCAAATCCCTTGCCTCACGACCTTTGGTTGCAAGATATTCTTGCATCCAACTTCTGGCAGGGTGGTTACTATTCCAGGAGCCTTAAATGTCTTACTAATGGACATTTTGTCTGGCTCTCGGACCTTAGCCATGATGATGCTACTGCTGCTTTTCATGCAGTCCCTTCTTGTTCTGCTGGTTATTGTACTTTTTATAGGTCTCAGGTTTTGATTCCTATTTTAACTGGGGTATGAACAAATCTGGGGAATAATAATAATATCACTTTATTAACCCTTTATAATTTCTTGCATTAGAAATTCGTTTTTTCGCAGACCCCAGCTTGCTCTCCATGAGACACACAGACAGGGAGAGAAGCTTGGGGTCAGAGCGCAGGGTCTGCCATTGTACGGCGCCCCTGGAGCAGTTAGGGTTAAGGGCCTTGCTCAGGAGCCCAACGGAGTAGGATTCCTATCCGAATACTGTATGAGGAAAACATTTAAGGTCTGATACGATGCAATTTTTAAAGTGCCGTACTTTACTTTAACAGTGAAGAATTATTCATTTCAGTTTGCTTTAATAAAAAATCTGCCTACTGTATCTTCTTTGATTATACCTGCGTATAATGCCAAGTAAAGCAACAGTTAATGAACCTCTTCTTCTCGAGGAAAGACTAGTAAGCCTGTCTTTTTTGTCAGTATTGACTTCAAATTGACTTTTGACAACAGAAGCTTGTAGTTTTTTTTCTACTCCAGGATTTCATGATAATTGTAATCCTTGTTAATTTCACAGCAGAAATGTCATTTAAAAATCTATGTATTAGTTGCCCGGCAAGTTAGCATGATGTAGTAAATCTATACATGTTTAAGATTGTGATGGACTCAATTGTTTTGCAGTGCAAAGTTGCATACAAAGATTAGCATGTTTTGTGGCTACAGTATAGGTTTTGCTTGCATGAATTGTAAGTATGTAGTGCTGTTCTGCCCTTTATTAGTTATTTGCATCTTAAGGCAGAGCAGCCATTAATTAATCCCAGTATGTCAGGGAAGGAGGTGTTCCTGAGGTGGTGCTTACCCAGATGGGTCTGTCCTTGACATAGCATAATCCGTTTCCAAGTAACATTTTTCTTCCTGGAATAATGACACTGGGGGGCTGTGTGAAATAGGCTTTCCTGTGGTTTCAATGGCTGCATTAAACTTATCACAATAAACAAAAATAAATCCCATCATCAACAGAATTTAGCTAATATGTTTTTTATTGGTCTCTCAGGTAATGAATGTCAAACTATTTTTTAAATATTTTACTAGATTTTCAGCCACTATAATGATCAGATGGACAGTTTCACCGTTCATAAAAAAAACACCTGCACTCGTTTTTTTCGTCCTGCGTTTCTTGTGTTTGGGAAGTGTTCAGACGACATGCCATTTGGATGTGAAACAGGAAATCAAGGCCGAGTCTGAGAAATCAAATTTGAATCAGTCACTTTACACAAAGGATTGTAGGAGGCTGGAGCAAATTACCCCCTCTTGAAAATACAAATTTTCGGAAACCAGAAATAGTGTCATGTTGCCTCATGGTGGGGGGAGGCTGACAACTTGTTTTATTATAAATTCAGTTCTTGGGTGAATAATTAACAAAAGCGTGGATTCGGAAACCTCCTGTAGCCTCTTGTAGGCTCGTAGGCAGTTCAGAAAAATAAATGGGGTGTTCGCGTGTGGCGTTGTCTTCATTTTTACAAGCTACTGCTTTTCTAGGAGGAGCAGGAAGTCTTGTTTTTGTTGTTATTTTTTTCCTCTTTCCAAATTGTGGAACTTTTCCCAGATGTTGGGTTCAGAATTGTAGGCCCTGGCCAATAGATCAGTTTTCTTTGGTATCACAGTGCAGGTTTAGTGCATTTTAAGCCTCCAGACATTAATCAGATGTGAAGTCTTAAAAATACACTTACTACATGGTGTTTAACGGTTACTGTCTGTTCAGTGAAAACACTGGGCACATTTTGAAGGTCTGCGTTTCTCACGGTACTTTCTCATTACGTTTTTACAGCACGCACTACGGCTTTTAGCCTTTGGACAGATTTATAAGGTACTAGACATGGATCCACTTCCTTCAAGTAAACCTTCCCAGAAATATTCTTGGTCAGACAAAGAAGGTATGTTCAAGTTTGTTTGAATGTTGTGTGGTGAATTAAATGAACGGAAACTGCCAACGAGCAGGAGGGGGGGCTGTTTTGGAACTCGGCTTCTTCTCTTTGGGGTCTTTTTTTACGCGTTTTGTCTTTTTTTCAGGAACGGGGCTGAAACGGCCGTATGAAGACGGGCCGCTGGACGACAAGGACCTGATTAAAAAGATGAAACGCAACTTGAGAAAAAGTAAGCTCTTCCAACTTGGGGTGCCCACTGCAGCTCTCATGCGTCATCAGCGTGCCCCTGTCCAGCTCCTTGCATTTCAAAGTCAAAGGCCATTGTGAAGGAATGTAACGGATAGTGGCTCGGTTTTCATGGATCAGAAGACGGATCTTGCGGTTCATTGTCATTTTCTGTTTTGTAGCCATACTTATGAGATATGATGATTCTCATACCGCTTTCTGAATTGGCCTTATATCTTACACTTACTCCTTGCTATTCTTTGAGTTGGACAGTCATTTGGGGAAAGAAATACGGCTCTACACCCAAGCACAGGCTTTTCTAAATCCGATCAATGTTCACGTGCTTGGAACTCAAGAGTGAAGAGTGAGCCTTTTTTTTTTTTTTGCCCTCAAGCACCTGGCGGCAGTCAGTTGAAAAGGAAGGGGAATGTCTGTCCTCGTCTTTCTCCCCTCCAGTCTAAAAATAGCTTATCGTTGGACTGCAAATTCATTTCAAAGTAAAAGAAAATCACAAAACGTATACAAGAAATAGATTGTAATGCCCCTCCCCCAGGAGAGTGATTTTGTATTAATACAAACGAATTGAGGCTTAATTAAGCCTTAATTAAGTGCAACGACATCGAAACAGAATTGAAACTGGCTTTGTGCAGGGTCACCGTGGGGTGACAGTGGTGTCTTCTCTTGCATCTTGCATGATGACAAACACCATCGTTAGAGGAGACACCTCTCTGTGTGTGGCTCAGCACAGAATCTCCCCAGAAAGATATTCATAGTATTTGGCTCCTTCAGAGCTAACCACTTTGCTGTTTGCAAGCATGCTCTGGGCTACCGGGCACGCTGTGGTTAGGGCTCTGGACTAAGGATGCTGGTTCAAATCCCAGGTAAAACACTGCTCTTGTACCCTTAGGAGCAAGGGATGTGCTCAGATTGTGCCATCAAAGCTCCTTGTAGTATAAATGGCACAGATGTAAACCCAAATTAATAGTAATAATAGGGCTACTGCCTCTTTGCGATGAGAGCAGGTCCATTTTTATTGCCAAAGGCACTGAAGAACAGCTGAACTAAAAGACATAGGGACATACAGAATAACTGCCATCTGTAGGACTGCTGCTAAAGATGCTTTTTGAGAGCTGACGTGTGGAGATGCATGATTTGCATGCGCAATGTTCTGGAGCGTGTGGCTGTAAACATAAAACTTAATTTGTGTGTGTAATTAATGGCTATCCCCGCACTTAAATCTTCTGCAGATGTGGCAGATAGGAGTAGATTGTTTTAACAGGCATTAGAAAGGGGGACACTTTTGCAGCTGTGCACTGTTGGCGAGGTGGCAGGCCTCCGTTCCTAATGCGGACGTTGAAATCTGCTGAAGACTGTGGCTGGAAGCAATGAGCTCAGCTTAGCATAAAACCTTCCTAGAATTTATGACAATTGCAGCTGTCAGTGTGCCTGTAATCTTGCAATGTGTTGTATTCCCTAAGATTAGACCATGTCACAATGTCAGCAGCAAGTGTAATACATTTTTGGAAGCAGAGGAGGTGTTTGTACAGGCTATTAGCTTGGGATTACTTCCCCTGATATAATTCTTACTGCACTGCATGACGTTGGCACTGTGGAAGATATCTATACATGCTTTTGTTGTGCACACATACCATTTCATTTGTTTCTTCCCAGAGGAACATACTTTTGAAATCCACATAAAAATCGTAATAACAGGGCATATCAATTAAATATTTTCATGGTCATCTGCAATGCGATGGATGGCTTGTTTGAAATGAAGGCCATAGCCTATATGCTTAATATAAGCAGACCTGAAGCAAAAATGTAATTGGTTATCACTTCAGGATAGCAACCCTTTCATTATCCTTTCTCTTGAGCTTTGGGATTTTAATAAAAAAACATAGCTGTTGCAGAATTAAGCCCCCCCCCCAGAGCAAAAGCCATACAAGATAGACAAGCATATTCAGCTCCCTTTTGTAACCAGATGAGAGAGGTTTCATTGGGTAGAACAGTCACAGTCTACAGTAAACAACATAGTTCAAACAGACAAATGGCTGTACGTTCTTTATTTCTCCAAATGCTATTCATGTGCCTTAAAAGCTTGTGATCATTAATAATATTCTTTAACAAATCGTGTGAATTGTCCGTTTAGGATGTAAAACCTCCTCATGATCTTTATTTGGTGAAATTATTATATGCATGCCTGGTTTGCAAACTCATTTACCGTTTTGTAAGGGGGGATTGAACATGTAATGGAAGGTGAGGATGGTAATTACAAGTTCATTGTTAATGAAACCCAGGGTTCTCTAATTCCATGAAGGCTGGAGGCGAAGTCTGGTTTGGAAGCCTTTGCAGTGTGCTCGGTGAATCACCTTTCAAACCCAGAGCCTGACTTTACAATTGCCGATGTCTCAGCTGGTCCCCCGTCTGTGTCCCTGGCGGATCTGGGTGCAGGAATGTTTATTCGGCTTTTAACCAGAGAGACCGAGTCATTAAATCTGACATCATCTGTTGTGCATCCGCACAGCCTCGCATATTTACAGTGGGGTTATCACTGCTGTTGTCACAGTCTGTCTGCGATGACTGGAAAGCAGAAGTGCTTCTCGAGCTACGTATTCTTGAGTATTGAACGCCAGATTGGAATCAAGAAGTGATTTTCTCTTTTGCAGATGTCACGAAATCTGTACTAAAAAAAAAAATGCAGTCATTCTCAATGCCCTCCCTCAACTAAAGTTTTTACAAACTTCCAGGCTGCTGAGGTGCTGTGCCAAGATGGGTTTGGTAAAAGCAGATATGTAAAATGAACGACGGTGTTTTTCAACA